CCATAAGAAAAATCACTGCAGTGGCAACCCAACCTCGCAGAGGTTCAATGGGTAGAAACAAACTGAATGAGTGATTAATTGTGAGGAGCACTGAATTCATTTGCTCCCATCCCTAGGGTGATCAGTGCTCATAAAAAGCAAGTGAAAGGTTGAGTCTAACTCTTAATGAATCCAAGACCCATGAGGCAGGATGCTTACTTGCTCGCATCCTTATTAGGATTCACCTATATGTGTGTAGTTGTGAGGCCGCGACTATGGGATCAGGGCTGCTCCCTAGTAACACACATGAAAGATACCTGCGCAAGGCCGATAATAGCGCAACCCGTTTAGAATTCTTCAAAACTGTACTATGTGTGCTTTCTGTAGAAATCCGATAAATGAGACTGGTTCAAGGCGAAGTCCACCAAGCTCTCACGGATCTATACAACTGTCACTAAGTGAAGGTTCAAACCGAAAGGTACCTCCACCTATTACATAGTATAAGGGAACCAGCAATCATATTTATTTTTAAGTTCTTCTTTTATTGTTATTTCTAAATTATTTTAAGTTTTAAGTTATGTGGGGGATTGTTGGAGTTATATAATAAAGATAACTTAAAACTTGAGTTTGTAGAGGAAAAGAGGAAAAAGTTTAGTCCCACATTGGAAAAGAGATGGGAAGATAGGCTCTTTATAAGCCTTCCCTTTCTCTCCTATGCCTAGTTTTATTGTTATTTCTGAATTATTTTAAGTTTTAAGTTATGTGGGGGATTGTTGGAGTTATATAATAAAGATAACTTAAAACTTGAGTTTGTAGAGGAAAAGAGGAAAAAGTTTAGTCCCACATTGGAAAAGAGATGGGAAGATAGGCTCTTTATAAGCCTTCCTTTTCTCTCCTATGCCTAGAAGAAAACAAAGGTTATGCTCCACGGATTAATGGGCCCTTAATCTGCTACATTTTTATTTTTATTTTTTGCTAATTAAAAACCATGATTAACATTTATAACATGATTAAATACGTGATTTAATTTTGTAACAAAAATATTTTGTAACGGCTAAGATTTATTAATGTGATTAGTGGCGCGCGCACACGAATGCCACTCCGGATTAATGGGCCCTTAATCTGCTACATTTTTATTTTTATTTTTTGCTAATTAAAAACCATGATTAACATTTATAACATGATTAAATACGTGATTTAATTTTGTAACAGAAATATTTTGTAACGGCTAAGATTTATTAATGTGATTAAAAAAAACGTGATAAATACTTTGCGAATTAATTATGTAACGGAAATATTTTGATTTTATAACGGCTAAGATTTATTAACGTGATTAAAAACGCATTAATTACGGCTTATGAGTAACGGCTGTTTTAACCCTATAAAAGGACCTAAACCAAAGAGTTTTATACAGTGTGAAAAACACAACGTATTCTCTCTTCCTCTCTGCTATTTCTCTTCATATTACTATTGTTACATTTTTGGTTCCCTGAAAGTCACGAAGAATTCACAAAGCCTTCTTGAAGCTCGTGCCGACGAGAAGGAGGTCACATGACCGAGGGTCATTGTATCTCCGGGAACTTTTGCCGCGTAGCCCTGTACGAGAGGGGGCAATTAGTTTCTTGGGACAGTGCTCGCGTAGCCCTGTACGAGAGGGGGCAATTAGTTTCTTGGGACAGTGCTTGCACGCCTCGACCATCAAGCCGTATTTCTAACCCTTATTTCTTTTTGTTTGAATTATTTCTTACATCTGCGTTACAATATTAATCCGTGATTATCTGTTAATTATTAAATTGCTTAAACTGATTTTCGTTATTGTCTAAACAGCTAATATTCCTAAATGTCTTGCAACTATATTTCTCATCAAAGTTAGAACAACATGGCTTCACATGATCATGCTCTAATTAAAATCTAATTTTTGCAGCATTTTTAATAGGATTGGAATCACTTGTGTTGGTTGAAACTTCACCCCAAAGCTCGCCAAAGTTGTTGACTGTAATTAAATGGGCCACGAGGGGATTCAAAGTAGAAGAAGCAACAATAACAAGCCTCGCGTGAAAGATTTGAAGAAAACGAGATGTTATCTAATTTTCTAGGGTTATTTTGATCACTTGGTACTCTAAAGTTTACCTATTTCTTAATTTTGATGCACTGAAGTTTTTATTGATAGTTTGACACCTCAAGGTTCAACATACATTTAACCTTAGTATCTCTATTAAGATTTCGGTTAATTTTTTATTAAATTTATAATATGTAGCTACCTCCCTCATGAAAGTACATACAAATGTGAAATGCCCTAACATTTAGGAGGGTCCTCCATAAAAGTGAGATCTTATAGAAGCGTAGGGCCACAGAGGGTAACGCGGACGCAAACCCATAAAAAAAAACTTAGCACGTTGAGCACATTCCCATTGATACCGGCCCCCGATGACAACTACGTCTACGGTCCTATTATTATGTTTCCTTCAAATAGCACCAAATTTGACAATTTTACCCCTTTATATATAGACAATATAACATGGGCATGTCCATTCTTTTATCACATTTTTTTTAACTCTACTATTTGCCTGGTTTGAGTTGATGTTATACATTTACATTACACATTTCTTAACTTTTTGGCTCTGTATGGCATGCTATTAGATTTTTTTTTTCTTTCTTTTGTATCATAACAATCACCAACTCTAGTTGTCACGCATTCAGAGTTTGATGTAGTGGGAGAGACTCTAATATATTATATATCATAGCATGCAAAATTTAAATCTTAAGGAGATAATGTAACAAATACAATGAGTTTAAAATTTTAATGTAATTTTATCCTGGCTTCACCTCTTGGTAAATCTCATTCATTCTTCCTTTTTGAATGCCATGAGATCAATCTCCCTAATTTGTCAAATATTCCACAACTAGAATTATGCATCAAAAAATTATAGAAAATTAAATATTTTTTATTCATTCAAATAAATTGGTAAAGAAGGTGTTGAATATTTTCTCTAATAAATCAAAGAAATTACAATTTGTAGCTTTACTGGACCAAAAAAGAAAATACTAAAAATAACTTAAAATAAATAGTTACTGCATTTATTCAAATCAATTTGAAAAGGAGAGATAGTCAATTTTTTCTATATCAAATAATTAAAGTGATAATAATAATAGTGATACAAAAAAATTCATAAGGAATTCTACATTCAAAAAAATTGGTTAAATCAAATTAAAATTATATTATTCTCATTCTAGATGGGTAAAGATGATAAATTCTATAGAGTAATGACAAGATAAAACCACAAGTTTAGGGTCAGATAAAAAATTAAAAATTAAAAATAAGAAGCATAAACATATATACTCCCTTCCTTTTAATTTGTTTGTCACTAGCTTTTTCATTTTTCTTTTTGGAATAAAATTTTAAACCCTGCAGAAGCTTTCACACTTGACAAATTAATAACGTCATGGTCCATGTGCTTAGCGAGTAGAATTAATTACTAGGAAGTTTCATGTCACCCACCCACTGCTATTAGGACCTAGGATATAATAATTATAATTACAAGGAAAAAAATAATAAAAAGATAAAAATAAAATATCACAAATAATGTCCAATTGATCACGTTATTAGATAGAGATTCCATGGCGGGAGTTAAAGTTAGGAGATTGAGAGGGACTTGCAACTTATTTATTGGTTTGCTACTTTGCATTATTATTACCATAGTTATTATCATCATCGAGTCAATGTCACACTAGTAACAGTTTCTTTTGATTATTACTTTATTATCTTATTTTGTTATGGACAGTACAGCTTTTTCTTTTTAGAATTTGAACTCTAAAATCTTCATATCATTTGCAACAATTATACTATCTAAAATTTTGCATTGTCATTGCAGGCTTAAAAGAGACTTGGAATGAGATTCTTTCTTCTCTTTTCCTTTTACATTTTTTTAAATAGCTAAATTTTTTGAAGGGTTATTTACTATGGGATAGTTACGAAGGTTCTATTCATAATTAGAGGCTCGAATAATAATACGGCGATTATTGATACTCCAAAAAAGGATAAGGATTTCCTTAAAAGGAAGAAAATAATCACATAAAGCTTCATGCTTAATTATATGTTAATATTAGCTTCTCTGTTAAGAAAATGGATAAGCACTGTTATGAAAGGAAAGAAATCAAATTATAATTATGAAAATAAAGTCGACGACCTTATTCTTCCGCGCGTGATTATCAGTGTTACTAAAATCAACAAAGAAAATTAAAAAGACCATGTCTATACACGTTATCATACTCAAAGTATTAGGTCCCATATGCGCTATATCCATTCCCATATGTAATCAGATCTCCACTCTCTCCGCGTAAAAAGAAACTAGTTTTTTATATATCAAGAAACCCAAGTTTTAAAATTGTGTAGCGAATCCTCAATCGAAAATGGTATTATTGTGTTTGGATAGAAATCGTTGGTGCTCAACTACGTGTTTGTATTTGCATGAATGTTGTTGCAGCACCCAAAAGTTGTTATACAAATAAAATAAATATGAGCTAAAATTCAGGAACCGTTAGTTCAAATTGAATAGTATCTCAACAAAAAGAGTTGGAATTACATGATATCATAAATGTATTTATCGCTTCAATTTCTAAACAAACATGCCTTATAAGAGGAAATTGGTGATTGCATTGATTTTTGTACTGTTTGCGCTCATCTGTCATTTTTCTTGCTTCAAAATCGAACCACCTATGTAGGTTTATGTATTATATATGCTAATAAAAATTGTGAAAAGGCACATCTTACACTTCTCTTCATTTTTTTCTTTTTCCCCTATGAATTCATGTTTACTTCCATTTTATATTTGATGAATCATTACCATCCAATCAATAGTAAGCAGCTATAGGATTAAACAAATAATCGCTATGTTGCTTATATCTATATATATAGCTCTGAGGACCTAAGTCCTTTCCACTCAGCATTTGGTCACCAATTAATTCTCCTCCATCTAATACCATTTCAAACATTAATCCAACAAATAATCACATATTAATCCCTTAGTTGCAGACGAGGCAATTCTATCTGCCACGTCACGACTGCGTGTGATACCTAAATCCTGACCACTTCTTTTATTAATCCCCCTTTTTTAACTGATACGCTGTATTCTCAAAATTCATTTTCTAAATTCCCATTGGCTTTCGCTGTCTCCTTTTTCTATATAAAGCCTACAGCCAGGCTCTTCGCAGGCTCTCTCCTCTTCTTAGTTATACTAGACAGATTATCGATAGATCAATAGAATTTCATAATAGTTTTTTTTTAGAAAAAAAAGTTTTGAGTTGGGTTTTTGAAAATGAGAATCTATTCAGATTCTGATGGATTCCATCGATTTCACGAGGCCGGAAAAGGCCACGCGCCGGCCGCCGACTTGCAGATCGTGACGTCGGATGGGCACAGGATCGCTGCACACTCGAACGTTATCGTAAGTCTCGCATTTGACGATCAAACTTCGGTTTTTAATTGAATTTGTGGTTTTTATTTTGATTCGATTTGGACTCGATTGCGCAGGCTTCAGCGTCGCCGGTGCTGGAAAACACGGTCTACAAACGCAGAAAGAACTGGAGCTCCGAAAGGGTGATCCACATTCTCGGCGTTCGTTCCAACGTTGTTTTCGCATTTCTACAGTTTATATACTCTTCTTTCAGGTTGGGCGTCCTTTTTTTTAATATTATTATTATTATGTACAGAACGAATACATTTTATTTTTTTCCCCCAAAAAATTCTAAAAATTTCTGTAATCCCCGTCGCAGCACTGCGTTATCGTCTGCTGAAGCCAAGGAGACAATGGAGAAATACGGGATACAGCTGCTGGTCCTCGCGCACAAGTACAGGATCGACTGGCTGAAGAAAGCATGCGAGGCTGAAATTATCAGAAATCTGAAGCCAGAATCAGCCGTCGACATTCTCCAAATCGCAAGGTTATGCGACTCCCCGAGACTCTGCCAGCGCTGCTTCACCCTCATATCCAATGAATTCCCATCAGTGCAGAAATCCGACGCCTGGCGCTTCGTTCACCTGAACGATCCCAGGCTAGAAATCGAGATCCTCCAGTTCGTCGAGCAAAGTGAACAGAGAAGAAAGCGGTGGAGGAGAGCGCGATCAGACAGGGAGATGTACGAGCAGCTCAGCGAGGCAATGGAGTGTTTGCGCCACATTTGTATCGAGGGGTGCTCGAATGTGGGCCCGCACGATAGATCGCCGCCCAGGAGGGGCGAGGCGGGGGGGGCCGTGCGAGAAGTTCGGGTGTTGCGAGGGGCTGCAGCTGCTCATTCGGCACTTTGCTACGTGCAGCATCAGGAAGAACTCCGGTGGTTGTTCGCACTGCAGACGGATGAGGCAGCTGTTTCGGCTGCACTCGTCGTTGTGTGATGTGGGGGAGTCCTGCAGTGTTCCTCTTTGCAAGTGAGTCCATTTTTGATCGCTCTTGCATTTTGAAACATTGTTAAAAATTTTAATATTTTTCAGTAGATCAACTAGACTATTGATGATCTAAGTTAAGAAATCATGCGAAAATTCAGATGAATTATTTATAAAGTAAATGATTTTAGTCCTCTCTAGTGTACCTTAGTTTATTTACTAGTCTCCATACAAATGGTTAATCTTTTTTAAGTTTTAAATTTGTTTGTAAAATTTTTTATTTTTTTAGTAGATCTGCTAAATAGTAGATAATTATAATTGAAAATTGTGAGTTTTTTAAAGAAATCAGGTAAATTCGTGGGATAGACATAAAAAATTTCCTTTAGTCATCATCTCTAGTGTATCTTCCTTGGGTTGAGATCCAAATGGTTAATCTTTTTTAGCTTTAAATTAATTTATTAATTTTATGGTTAGAAATTGGTTTTCATGAAAAATCTTGGCTAATGTTTACTGATATATAAAAAACAATTGATTAACAAACACTAGAATGTCAAATTCTGAAGGGCTAAGAATAAACTAGAAAATTTTCTAGTATGCCTGCTCTGCGCGACAGCTTTAATATGAATTTGAGCGAGTAAACTTGGTTAATTTTCTCAATGATCCATTAGAACCAATAAGAATTTGAGAGGAGAGTTTAAGATTTTTAATAGATCGGAGTTCAATTAAGTAGTTCGATTGGAATCATTGTTCAGTAATTGAACGTGAGAAATATTTAATAATTTAGAGGATCCCGAATAAAACAAGAGCTTCTTTAACTCATCCCAGTCATGAATATCATGACTCTTTTAGTTTTAAATTGTTTTGATTATTCTCTTGAGGTCAGAATAAACTTTCTTATATCTTAAGCATAACTAATGGTTAAGTCAATTATCAAATTTGTCTAACTGATTTTTTCGTATTTAATTTAAATAACAGGCAATTCAAATTGAGGATTCAAATGGATGGTAAAGGAGATGATGCAACATGGAGGCTTTTAGTGAAGAAAGTAGCTGTTGCGAGAGTTATGTGCTCTTTGGCCAGAAGGAAGAGACCTCAAGAGCTCCGAAATTTACGGGCAAAATCATACGGAGGCATGAGATTTACATAGTTTGTGACTTTGATCTTTCTTTTTCTTTTGAAAATATGTATATTTCCATCATGATTTATTTATTTTTTTACTTTCTTCTTGTATTCTTTGTAGCTTAACATGTACTTTGTATGATATGGATGGAATAAAGATTACAAACTTGGCTATAATCTGTGCAAGCGATGGTCTAAACTCTGTGGAGTGCTTTGGCAAAAGATGAAGTGCTTTGAAAGTACACTAGTTTAGTGTAGTTTCCCATTTTCTTTATACATAAATTAGTTATCATTTATGCTAACTTGATGACAGAAAATTATATTGTTCTGATTCTCGTGACTTAGATATGACTCTTTCGAAAGTTTCCCATTTATAAACCACTAGGTTTTATGTATGTACGTAGTTGACTATCATGATTAAGTATTTTAAATTTATCTTCTCACTAAAACTTGTTCATCTATTCCACTTTGCTAGTTTTTTCTCACTTGTGTCTCTAAACTTTAGCATTGTGATTATGTAATTTCTTTAACGTTTGTTTTAATAGGCTACATCGAATTTAAATTTTCATGTTGATAATTGAAATTGACATGAAATAAATGTAATTCAAAGCTAATTTGAATATTCATGTTATTTGGACCGACATGAAAGCAGACTTGACTTGAGAAACTATAGTGTTGTGAAAGTAAAAACCACTTGAAAAAATAGCATTATAAAAGGAAAATGAATAATTAAAACCAATAAGCCAAGATGATTAATTAAAAGTTAGCAAGAACAAACTAAAAAGGATATGAAGATTGTTCATATCATTGATAGACTTCATGAAAATATAAACTAAAGATTAATGCTAACTCTAGCGCACTTTTATATGATAAAAACATACACATGAGCATATAAAAGTATTAAAAACAAGTTCGTGATCCCTTCTAAAAGAATTCCTAATTTTACTCAAAAAATTAAATTATTCTATAAAATATTTAGAAAATAGATCTTTTATGTCTCCTTTTTTATTTTTTTAATTGAGTCAAGATAGATTAGTCCTTCTCCATCTTTATCATTTTCATGGGCAATTCTAGAGCAGTGTCTTCATTATCTATATCAATTATGATATCAACCTGGAACTAGATTTTTTGTACTGTTATCTTTTTCTGGGCTCGTTCATCTTTTGTCTTCTCGTCTTACTTCACAAAGAAGTTGAATATATTTTCGATGTTCAATACAAACTTCTCTTGTTGATGTACTAGTGATCACACAGTCAATTGAATCCGTAGTTGGATGGGGTTGTTGAGTATTGATGAGGGCTGCTTTCTTCCGCGAGTTTATGTCTGGTTCTTTGAGTGGGGTTGATGAATCTACAAGTAGGAACTCGTGAGAGGACGGGGCTTGGGTCCCCGTGGTTCCTCTAATGATCAAGTTAGCTGATGAACTTGAGTAAGGAAAGTAAAGAAATGCTAGAGTTCTTGTGTGTGCAATATGTTTGCTTAGAGATCAAATTTCAGATTTGTGAACCTTTGTTATGTTTGAATAGTACCTGTATTTATACCGAGGGTATAAGGATAGACTGGTTACTTCGGCCAAGTACAGGATGGGGGTGGCAAAGTATGGGCTGACGACTGAGTCAGCACCTACTTTACAGGTGTCAGCTGGCCACTGGGGGAAGGATCACTTTAGCATTAATTGAGAAGTGATTGGTGGCATGGCGGTGCCTGCGTAGTCCGATGAGTCATGAAGACTATTGAGGCTAGAAGCATGATGATACCTACCAAGTATTAAATACGATGCATACACGTTACCAGTGGGAGATGCTCAAGGTAGAAGCTTATCCTTTAACTTCACCGAGAAGTAATGCCTTTCGAGTCGTCCTTGCAAGGCGTCCAGCAAATGGTTGAGTGGACTCGTGGCAAGTCGTCTTCAACAATAGGGGGCGACAAGTACTACCTTTCTTGTCGACATAAGGGAATGTCGGCTCGACAAGTCGGCTAAGTTGTCGTCCCTACTAGTTCCTGGCCGCTAACTTGATTGGGGCATAACATGCAGTACATCTGTCCGTTGCTTGGCAATGGGTTGCTTTTTAGTGAATGGGAACACCATAATAGTTGACCCTTTTTGCTTGGAGTCAGCTTGAGCCGGGTCCAAGTGAAATCAAATTAGCTTTTGGATAGACGTGGGTGTGTATTGAATGAGAAACTAAAAAGTCCCTTCAAATTAGACGTGGCTAACATCACCATATATTCTTTTTGACTGCTATAACTCCACTTTTCTTGGTAGATTACATGCTGTTCGAGGTGAGTGGGTTGTGCCTCGATCTCAGATATAGCGCTTCGGATTCTGAGAATTAATTCTAGCCGTTGGACAAGGCTTGGTCTGACCGTTCAAATATGGATGGTTGTAAAGTCACTGTCTATATATAAGAATAGGACCATAAGGGTGGCGGCTATTGAATTTTTAAATTCCCTTTAGAGAACTCAAAACGTTTCTGCTCATCTCTTCCAGCGATCATCTCTGCAATCTTCAATGGTATCTGAGCCCGTTGATCGACGAGTTCTCCTGGCAGGAATCCACTCCAAGGTGACTTTGGCCCAGAAGAGGACGATGCATAGGAAGTTTGATGTCCTTGAAGAGTATACGCTTTTGGCCCCGACGAGGTCGAAGGCTATATATGATCATGGGCCGGAGCGGGGTCCGCTATATTTAAGGCATCTGTAATTTGGCTTGCGGTTGCCTCTACATCCTTTCCTAAAGCAAGTATTCACGATGTTAGGGGTATCACCGACGCAGATGAAGCTGAACACTATCGATATCCTAGTGGCGTTCATGGTGATTTGCCATTGGTTAGGGATAAGGCCATCATTGTGGGTCTTAGGCCGGTTGGTGGTTGTGAAGGTGAACCAGAATGAACCCCACATCCACTTTCAGATGGTGGAGAAGTTCAGGCTCCTCACCAGCCTTCTTGACTCATACAAGGACTGGAAGGAGAGGTTCGTCTGGGTTGTAGGGGAAGACCTAGAGTTGGGCTACTCCGACTGGCCCGAGATATGGAGGGAGGCACTCATGGGGGATGAGTTGTCTACGAACGAGAGGGAGGCACTTGACCTGATCAAGTCGTATGTCGGCTCTTGTTGAGTCGACCACCTGCTCGACAAGTCGGTCTTGCGAGTTGCCGGTGTGTAGGTCCTGCTTGCTACTACCTAAGACCATGAGAGAGCTTCATCCCTCATCGTAGCGATAGCTAAGCTGGCGCTAACGCCTACTATTCCTTTGGCTGCTCCTCAAGAGGAGTCGTCTGCCAGACCTACGAAGCGTCTTCATCGGGACATTCCTCTAATGGAGGCTGAGGCGGTCGAGGAAGAGGATGCACCCACCCTTGTCTATAGACGGAGGAGGCGGCCCCGAGGGGAAGATGAGGAACATGAGGTATAGGTAGTGGCCGAGATGCCTAAGATCAAGGTCATCCATCTGGATGAGTCAGCTTCGGGAGAACCAGCCGAGGCTCCTCACATGGGAAGGAGCCGGCTGAGGAAGAGGTGAAGCCTTCTGCAGGACTAGAATATCCCTTCTCCCACTGTGTTGATGAGATTAGAGAAGAGGAATGGAAGAAGATGAGTGTGTTCCTCATTAGGACTTCAGGGGTCGGCCGATGATATATGCAGAGGAGTCCAACCCTGAGCACCACTTTGAGGCTGCAAACCATCTTGATGAAAGGGTGACCGTCCTCGACTCTCCCGCGGCTCAGTCGATGGTAGTTGAGCAATTCTATCTTCCTCAGAATGATGAGTACTTGAGGGGAGTTCCCAATACTGGCCTCCACTTAAGCCTTCGAAGCTATTTGGCTTGAGGCGCTCTGGTGGAGCAGGCGATGTTTGGTCGGATGGAGCATATCCAGACTTCCTATCTCAAGCTGTTGGGGGGAGGTTGATTCCCTAAGGGCTAGTAGAAGGATCGACCCGAAGCGGGCTGCTGAGACACCAACCCCAAAAGCCTCTAAAGTTGAGAATCTCAAACAAGAGCTGGAGGAAAGCTGAAGGAAGGCCAGGGGGCTTGGTAAGGCTCTCCTGGAGTGGGACCTCACTTAGGGGTTGGTTGATATGGAGAAGGTGGCGGTGATGCATGCAAAGCGTCAATTGGATGAGAAGCATGCAGAGCTCATCAAGCTCCAAGAGGAGGTCACCCACCTCAAGTCCGAACCTTATCGGCCAGAGATCATCAGGGAATATTGCCAAAGTATCACTGGGAAAACTAAAGTGGCAATAGCCTACAAAGCCGGGTATGACTACCTATCGGCATAGCTTCCAACCGAGATGAGGAACCCACCCGATTACTTCCACTATCCTCCCATCGTGGACAATTATCTGGACGAACTGGTGGAGGTGGAAACGCTTGGAGGGGGATTCGATCTGGGTGAGGAAGACGAGGAGTCAGATGAAGGAGGAGATTGCTCGACTCCCCGGTCAAATGTTCCTAACATGTGACACCCCAGGATTCACACAAGGCTGCAGTCCTAGATGAAACCCGGATTGTCAAACCTGCTAAGCACCAACCATCATGCTACGATATATTTTACCATCATAATCACTATCTATCTAGTAGAAACAATAAATAGGTGAAGGTACAAACATACAAAAATAGAAATAGGCAACATCGGATTTACACAGAAGAAGCATAAGAAATATCAATAATGAGCCTAACTGAAATAGAATAGAAATATCTCTGAGTATACAGAAGAAGCATAAGAAATATCAATAATGAGCCTAACTGAAATAGAATAGAAATATCTCTGAGTATAAACTGGATCTCAAATACAATGAGTCACTGAAATAGAATAGAAATATCTCTGAGTATAAACTGGATCTCAAATACAATGAGTCAAATAAACAAAGTTTCACAAAAGCTCTTAACTCTAAACTAAAATACCAATCTAGAGTCTGAAAATAATCAACTACATGTGGAGTATTGCAATAACTACAAAGTATAATAAGTAGCTAAATGGACAACTAAGAAGTCCCATCAACCTACGACTCTCCGTGTACCAGACTCTCTGCCTGAAAGAAGGGAAACAACGAGCGTCAAAGCGCTAGCAAGATCATCACTACCTCTCCCCAGGGGAAGGGGTAGGAGTATATAAGAAAATAGAGCCAGTACTTACATATATCAAATCATTCATATAGCTCTCTATGAA